AAATAACCGACATCTTTTTAAAACCACCTATTGTTGCTTTATTACTCTTTCTATTACAATAGTGCCTAGAAGTCACATCTGAGAGAGGTCCCAGTTCTACTAGGCAATGAGTGTACAAACATATGGTCAGAGATGTTTCATGTTCCAAAGAACCTACAATCTAGCTGAGGCATATTACCAGTGCCTGTGCTGATGAAAACCCATTCTGAGCCACTTGGTACCATTTAGCCATTGTTTCTTATACAGAAGGTCGTTGTCATGAGGACTATTGCAGACTATTATGGCAGGATAATTGAGCTTCAGGCTATAGCGTATGAGTTATCTTTCCAAAGGCAAGATGGAGCTTCCTAAATTCTCTCCTAAAGTGATCTCAGAATTCCATCTTAATTAGTTGTTCTAAGCACATTTTGTCCCAGTTTTTATGACCATCTCAGCAAGCCATTTTTTCACACCTACATGTCAAAAAGTTTGGGGTTTTTTTTCCTGGAGTGGAGTAAAGCCCTTGAAAAAGTCAACACTGCTTTTTCTTTTGACACAAAGTCAATAGGTTCCACTCTCTACAAAAGAACCATGTCCAAATGGTTGTCTGATTACATTTCTCATTGCTGCATCTTGCCAGGCCTAGAATTTGAAGGTCATGTCAAATCCCATTCTGTAAGATGCAAGTCTGTTCTTAGCAAGGTAATTCCTTTATCCTCTCAGTTCTTAAGAATTTAGTTCGACTTTGAACTTGTCCCTAAGGTTTTATTATTGATATACAAGTATTTGGAAAATGGAATCTCTGCCTAGTGGGAAGTTCCAGTAATTCAAAATTTTCTTTTCTTCATGAATCAGGAAAAAAGGTGAAATATTGAAAAATATCACAGACTAAAGTGGTCTGAAAAATTTCAGGTTAGTAAAGCAAGAGAATAAAATCTGACAATATTGGGAGCACTGTGGAAGGTGCATCTGTTTTCTTGGACATTTGTGGAGCTGTAGGGTTTAGGAGTAGGGATGATGTGAGACTGCAGTTTGTATCTTATTTTGGTTGCTTATTTCATTTTACTCTGGCTGTACTAATGAATCAATGTCTAATGCATGAGGGATTTTTCCCAAACGGTCTGACCCTTCAAAAATGTACATTCATATTTAATTACTTTATTAATGTTGGTACTACCAATCAATTAGACCATGTATGTCTTTCAGGTTGTTTACATGTTTAACCATTCTCAGGACTGGAGCCTTTGTTTGTGTATTTTCTTCCTTTTAAAAATACTACAGTGCCTAAAACTGTTAGTTTAGGTACTTTTTGTACATTTGAATACAAAAATGTATTTAGGTACTTTTTGTACATTTGAATAAGCTAAGGACAGAATTTCAAGATTTGTCCCATGTACAATACATAACGCAACTATAGAGAATGGGATTGCTTTTGGAAGGACACATGAGAGCAGCACTTGGGGGCTGGGTGCAGCAAACTAAGGTCAGTCAGTGGGGCTTGAACAGCACTTGGAACTAGAACAGCAATACGTATTTATGTCAATGAACACTGGATTGGGGTATGTGCCCCCCTACTTGTCCCCCTTTGTGCATGACTCCCCCGGATCTTCTATTTCTTTCTGATTTTAATAAGTAGCATTAAGTGGAAGGGGACAATGGGAACATATAATAATATATTATTTAGCTTTGCCAAATCAAGTATACAGGCAGTCCCCGGGTTACGTACAAGATAGGGACTATCGGTTTGTTCTTAAGTTGAATTTGTATGCAAGTTGGAACTGGCTCCAGATTCAGCCGCTGCTGCTGAAACTGACCAGGGGCTGACTACAGGAAGCTGGAGGCAGAATTGCTCTGCCCCCAGCTTCCTGGAAT